TTTTCCATACCTGGGATTGAACTCAGGTCCTTGCGCTTTCAAGTCAGGCCACCGAACCACTGAGCTAAATCCCCAGCCCTGTCTGCCTTTTTTTTTATTGCAGTTCTTCATGCGCTTTGCCTGAGGTCCTTTATTGTTTAACACTGTGCAACTATCCTTTTCCATTCTGGTTTGGTCTCTTCATTGTGGTTTTAGATAAAATTTCTAACATAAAAGATTTAAATTTGCCAACTTTCTCTTTATTCTTCCTACCCTGAGGTTACTAAATATTTCTATTGTCCTCATTTTTATACTTGCCTTCCTAAACAGTAATCATTATGTTGAAAATTGTTTTGTTTATACTGTAAGCAAGTCACTGCTCAATGATGCTGTTGAAGGGATAAATTTCAAATACAGGTGGGAGTTATACTAGTATTTTATGTGTTCCATACAGCAACCTCATTTTCTAAGAGGGGAAACTGAGGCTCGGAGAGGCTGAGACACATGACCAAGGAATAGTCTTCTAGATATGGGGGTTTCCAAATTCCGATCTGGCTACCTCTCAACAAGTCCATAAGCAAATTAGCCTCTGGGTCTCAATTTTCTTCAGCTTGAAACCCACCCCCCAAATAATGGCTCATTACTACAGTAGGAAAAAAGTTTGTAAACATTTTAGCTTCAGGGCTGATTTGTACTAAACTGTTCAAAAGAAAACAGGAATAGGGGCCAGGGATGTAGCTCAGTGGTGCTGCACCTGCCTGGCAAGTGCAAGGTCCTGAGTTCGACTCTAGGTACTGAGAGAGAAAAAAAGAACAGGACTAAATGTACTGATTCAAGTGTAACTCTCTCAAATCCTCCTACCTGGAATGCCCATACTCCTCACCCCTTCCTAAGATTGCTGGGTTCTATCACAGCTCCCAGAGGGCAGGAAAGCAGATGATGTGAACTCTTACCCATATCCAATTCACCCTTTTCCTGGTACGTCTAACTCCCACTGATTTTTCCACCAGGTGCTGCCTAGCCCAGCTGTTGACCTGACTGACATCTGGAACACAACAGCCTACCTGGCTCCCAGAAGAGATCAACCCACACTCTCCCACATTATTCAGGGACTGGGTCACTCCAAGGCACCTGCCCACGTGGTTAGGGCGGCTACCCTCTGGGAGTGGGAAGCTGCCAGTTTCAGTCTGCACTGGTAAGGAGTACAGCAGACATGGTCCACCCCTGGGGAAAAGACAAATCCCAGCCCACTCATTTTTCAAAACACAACATCTAGTTATGAAGGCCGCTGACTTTATTGATCTAAAAACAGTGACTGTTCTGCAAAAAAAAAGGGGGAGCCAAATGGCATCCTACACACCAGACTTGAAAGTGGAAGTGAGGGAAGGGGCTGGGAATCCACTGGGGAAAGCTGGTAACTGTAGCCAAGGAACTGGCAAGGGAAGGAGAAGAAAGGGAGATGCATGCAAGAGCGAGATTTCCAAAAAAGTTGAAACGGTGTGGGGGAGAGAACTCCCAAAAGACCCTGGAATACATCAGAGGTGAGTACAACAACAATCTTTTCCACTGTAAGGAGAGTGAGGTGCTCCCCTCAGCTGTGAACTCTAGAGACTCGGACCCTGGGGCTGGGGACAGAGGGCTCCCCAGACAGCATCACAAGAAGGCATCACACCACTCCCGGAGGCACCCAAAGCAGTCCCGGGACTGTTTGGCGTTGGCACCACATGTGTCTTTCAGCCATTCCCGGAAGAGGTCTTCATCTTTCTTTAGCACCAGAAATTGGCCAAGGACCACATAGGCCTGCAAAACAGGTAAAAGAAAAGTACTGCTGCTAAATACTGTATGATCTTCAGCCACACCACCATGAAAATGAGCCAGATCTTGGAAGATAAAAAAGCTTGGGCCAGATTAGTATTACGACGGGCAAGCAAGCACTTTCGTGGCACTCTAAACACAAAATTCCAGTTTCTATCCATCAAGGGCAGATTCTGCCCCACCTCATCACCAAGTGGCGAGAGCCACCTCAGATTATCCACCACTGTCCAACCTCCCACATACACTTATATTCCTCACTCTCAGCTGCCCCAAAATACTGTATTTTCCCTAGGCACATGCAGCCACCCCACACCTTGTCAAAGCCTCTTTCTTCCAACTTCTTGCCCAGGACTTCACCAATACCAGCCAGGCTCCCCACTGGCTTTTCCCCCATGGGCTCTGCCACGAAGTCTCGGTGCTTTTGGGACGTTGTCATCTTGATCAGGCTTAACCTGGGAATCCCAAGACAAAGCAGGTTAGGACTGAAAACCAGAAACTTGGAAGAATGTCATATTAAGAAGAAGATACACCAGCCACTATAGCAGTTTATTCTCCTCACTTCACAGATGAAAAAGCGGGCTGGGAATCTTCCCTACTACTGGAAAGAGAAATCTCTTCCACTCCCCTGGTGACTGGGTTTCGGTATTGCCCCAGTGGAAATACTATACTGCTCTAACAGGTGGCGCACGCAGGGCAGTGAGAAGATTTCCAAGGTCAGCAGACAGGTCCTGCCCTGAAGCTGTCACTCCCTCTGTAACACTCGGTGGAGGAAAAAAAAAAAAAAAAAAAACTGACGTCGTCCAGAATAGAACAGCCACGGAGTGTGATGTCAACCAAAGGTCTCGACCCTACTTGTCCCTGCTGACTATTCACCGAGCGAAGCAGGGGGGACCAGGGACCCACACGCGATTCGACAACCCCAAAAGGTCCACGCCTCGTTCAAACACACGCCGCTCCGCCTTCAACACACGTCGCCCCGCCCCCTCCACGCGCCGCGGCTCCCACGCGCCGTTCCTCCACTCAGCGCAGCAGAACCCTCTGCAAGGGCGCTTCCTCTGGTCTGCTACAACGACAGCGCGTCTTGCTTCACCTTCTCCCCGTGCCTCCTCCCGTTTCTAGCCAGGTCCCAGCTACCCGGCCCACACTCACCAGCAGCTTTAGCTCCCCTAACGGTTCCTCCCGAAACGCGGACGCTCCCGCTGAGGCCTCAAATCACTAGAACTTTCTTCAACTTCCGCTTCCGGGTCGCCTCAAGACCCGCCTTAAAAATTCAAATTGAGTATTTCTTAGCCATTCAGGGCCATAGAGTTGAGCCCCGGATATCAGTGGCCTTCCCCAGTTGCAGCTCCTTTCCAGTAGTCCTCGGAAAGCTGCGCTGTCTTCTGTATTCTCTTGTCTTCGGCAGCACTTAGTGTAAGGAAAAGAAGCCTTGGCGAATACTTCCTTTCTCTGCCGGCTTGGGTCCGGAACTCAATTGAATAGGCTTGACCGATCTGGCAGTGGGAAGAGTTAGAGGGCCGGACATCAGAGGGGAAGTGCGGCCGGAAGGCTTCAGAGAGTGCGCCAGAAGTACAAGTGTCGGCAGGATCAAATTCGGGACACCGTCCTCGAAATCCGGCAGGCTACAACTCAAAACTGCAGAAACCCGAGTTCAAACAGACGCTGCCGTTGTGACCACCAGCAGATTCCACTTCTGTGATTTCGTTGGTTTGCCTTGAAGTGAGTCGTGGACGAGTCGCTGTCAGTTCAGGCCCGTGGGACCCGAAAGCCAGAGAGTAAGCGGACGTCTTTCTCTGAGGCTCTTTCCTCTGGAGTAGAGGGAAGAGGGAGACAGGGACAGCAATCAAAAATGGTATTTCGGAGTTTTCTTCGGAAACATTCCGTCTCTGTGGTACCGGCCCTCTTCCGAAGATACATATACTGGCATGTGCTGCAGATTGAATCCTCATACCTCTGTTTTTAAGTCATTTCTAGTTTGGATCGTTGTGGTGGTCACCGAATTAGTCTCTGTAGCGTAATAAAAGATTGAGAGTTGTGTGGCATTGCTAGATTTGGGATGTACAAGCATGTTGATAAGGTACAATTTTCAAACTTCTTCCAGAGGCAGCCAGAATCAGTTCTCTGGGACATGTGTATAGTTAGATGGTCACCAGCAGATTTGACAACAGGAATTAGTGTCATGATACAGTTACCCTGAATGTTTTTCATTCTTTTATAGCCTTGCTGTGTTAGGTAATGTATTTTTCTGGGGCCCAGAGAAGTTGGAGTTTGGAAATAAGGTGGACTTGGTGGCCCATGCCTGTTATCCCAGCACTCTGGAACAAGAAGTTCACAAGTTCAAGCCCAGCCTGAGCATCTTACCAACATCCCGTCTCAAAATAAAAAAGAGGCTGGGATGTTGCTCGTTTCAAAGGCCTTGGGATCTGCTCTCAGTACTACAAAAAGGAAATACCCTGCCAACTGCCTCACAAGCAAAAGGTCCTGAGTTCATCCCCAGTACCAAAAAAAGGAAATACCCAAGACAGATTCTGAATCCAGACAGTAAGATCTTGAGGGTCCATATTTGTAAGTTGTGTTATTTCTTAGTGAAAGACTTTTCTGTTTTCAAAATAGTCCTGACTTCTGAGAGGGATATCCAAGAAATTCAGGAGGAGCTGACAGTTTCTGTGTCTCTAACCACCCTGTGGCTGGACCCAGCATGTCACAGGCCACCAAGAGGAAGCATGTGGTGAAGGAGGTGCTAGGGGAGCACGTGGTACCCTCTGACAGGCAGCAGATCGTGAGGGTGAGTTGCATTGGGCACAAACTGCTCCCACCCTTACCCCCACCTTCCAGCCCTTTGCTCCTGTTGCAACCCTAGTGTGGAGATAAGATGCAGTGCAACTCAGGGGTTAAAGATCTGAATGATGAGGCCGACTGAGTCTTGGTCTCTCCTGGACCAGGTACTCAGGACCCCAGGGAATAATCTGCATGAGGTGGAGACCGCCCAAGGGCAGCGCTTCCTGGTAAGCATGCCCTCCAAATACCGCAAAAACATCTGGATCAAAAGAGGTGAGAGAGGCAGCCCCCCAGGAGACAACCATTTCCTGTTGCTGTGGCTTTCCCCATTGCAAGCAGGACTGGCTTTGCCTTTTTTACCTACAGGGGACTTTCTCATTGTTGACCCCATTGAAGAGGGAGAAAAAGTGAAGGCTGAGATCTCCTTTGTGCTTTGCAAGGACCATGTGCGTTCTCTGCAGAAGGAGGGGTTCTGGTAGGGTGGTTCCCTTCATCTTTGACTCTGGCTTGGGGGCGGGGAGACTGACTTCTTAGCTAGGGAATTGGGGGTGGGGGAGATCATGGCATCCCGGGTAGGGACAGCTGGAAACAGTTGTTTTGCTGAGAGGTTCTCTGTTCTCTCTGACCTGGTTCTTGTCATCACACAGGCCTGAGGCCTTCTCTGAAGTGGCTGAGAAGCACAACAGCAACAGAAACAGGTGAGCACCAATCGCCAGGTCAGGGAAGACAGAAAATAGGGTCATGTCTTGGTGCCTCCTTTATCCCTTTGTAGGATACCTCATGACACCTCCTCGGTCCATGGTAGAATAAGTGGTTATGATTTTGGCTTGAAAGAAATTAAAATCCTGGCTTTAGCCAGGTGTGGTGGTGCATGCCTGTAATCCCAGCACTTGGGAGGCTGAGGCAGGAGGATCTCTGTGAGTTCAATACCAGCCGGGACTATATATAGTGAGTTCCAGGTCAACCTCAACTACATAGTGAGACCCTGTCTCGGGGAAAAAAAAAAAAAATCCTGGCTTTGCCACTTGCAGCTGAGTAACTTTAAACCAACTATTTGATAGCTTGCTTTCCTCATCTGTAAAATGGGAACTTTGTGAGGAGTAAAGAAGCTAATACTTGGAACATTGCCTATGGAATATGAGACCATTGTGTTGGTTGGTGGTAGAAAATTGTTACAACTCCTAACAGAAACCAAAAGCTGTAGCAAATTTTGGGGGTGGGGGACAGTCTTAGTCATTTTCTTAGGTCAGGTTTTCTCGCTGTTTGCTCTGTGTGTTCCTCCTTTTCATTTTACAGGGCTACTGCTTTTCCAAAGGTCCATGGGTCCCTGACTGCTTGGAAACATGGCTGTCCTTTTCTCAGACTTCTTGGTTCCACGTCTGGTTTTCAGATCTCAGAAAGTGTGGGGCTAACTCTGTTCTCCTCCCCCTTGCAGACAGACTCGGGCAGAACTCCCAGCTGAGCCACGGTCATCAGAAGAGTCCAGCTCTGAAGATGATTCTGACCTCTTTGTTAACACCAACCGCAGACAATACTATGAGAGTGAGGAGGAAAGTGAAGAGGAAGAGGCAGCTTGAGACCTGAGACCAACTTTTCCTCTTGTTCAGGGACTAGTCTCAGGCTTCCCTGGGCTTGGTCATTCCCAGGGTGCCCTGCAGATCCTCACCCCTGGAGAGGGACAAGGCAGGGCCCCTTTCTGAACTGTCCTTCTGACTTAGGTGAATTAAACCCCTGGTGGGTTGTGACTTGCATGGTGTGTGAGTGGCTCTCTGGGAAAGGGAGACTTGTGCAGTAAAACCTGTTCTTTGAGGACCAGTGGGCAGGATGGGAGGGAAATGGGGATGGGCAAGTGGTTGGCTCACATGCTCGCTCTCTCACTGGTTAGTGCCACGCCCTGTGCTATTCTCCTTCAATGTGTTTATCAGCTAGGAGCCGCCCTACTTCATTGCCTGCTTAATTCCAATTCAGGCATTCAGATATGCAGCCTGGGGCCTAGTGCCCACCTGTCTCTTAAGAGCTGCTCAGGACAAATCCCATGGTGCCTCGTGATCCACTTCCCCAGCCTTTCTAGTCTTCCTTACCAGGAGTGCCCAGCACCTACTGCTCTGTGTCCACTGGCTGGATTTTAGCCTTCTTACCCTTAAACATCTTTTACCTCTGGAATGTGTGCTTTGTGGTCTGCCAACACAATACCTGTACCATCTCCTGTTTTATTTGGAACTGCATAGTTTCCTGAGAACCCTGACTGGCTGCTGCTGGTTGTGGTGGTGCACATCTGTAATCCAAATACTCGGGGCTGAGGCAAGAAGACCGCCAAGAGTTTGAGGCTAGCCTGAACTACATAGTAAAACCCTGTCTTGGAAACACTAAAAAAAGTAAATAAATAGAGACTGCTTCTTTTTTGGGGGGGTACTGGGGATTGAACTCAGGACTTTGTGCTTGACAGGCAGGTGGCTGCACCACTGAACTAAATCCCCAGCCCAAGAGAGGCTGATTTTTCACCCTCATCCTTTGTGCCAGAGCACAAAGTAGATAGTGTTAGTGGCCTTCTTGTGGCTATTCCTATCATCACTCCCCACTGCCCTGTGCTTTCTTTTTGTTGTTACTGTTTTGTTTTGTTTTGCAGATGGGTCTCACTTTTGCTCAGGCTAGCCTCATATGTCTGAACTCAAGGTGTCCTCTTGCCTCAGCCTCCCAAGTACTTACTAGCTCTCCTGAAAATCCTTTCATCTCACTTCCTGGAAGCTTTTGTGTCTAGGTCTGCAGTGTCCTTGTCATTGCTAGCATTGACCTAGTCACTGATCTGTCATTGGTGAGTTTACCACCTGGCTCAGTGTTCTTCCCTCCTGGGTGGGTTTTTACATCTTCCAATGGAGCTGACAACACTATAGCCCCTGGTCCCATGATAATCCCCAGAATGTGTACCTCGGCCTTCTATTCCAGCCTGCTGCCTCTGCCCCTACTCACTCCCTGGACCCCTGACATTTCTAGAATCGTAGCACCTTTTAAATTGAGATACCTTTACATTTGCTACCTCCTGGCTGTCTTCTCCATTTCTCCTGTGCAAATATTCTTTGTTTTTTGATACAAGGTCTTGTTAAGGTGCCCAGGCTGGCCTCTACCTTGTGATCCTCCTGCTTTAGCCTCCTGAGTTGCTGGGATTATAGCCGTGCACCACCACGCCCGGTTTAAAAATTCTTTATCCTCATCCTCTGGACCTGACATTCTTGCTATTAGCCTTCTGCTGTCACTTCCTGGTCCCACATCATCCCCATGGGCTTTACCGTCACTCCATTCTGACCTCATCCTGGGTAAACTTGGTCATTTACTCCTGTGCCTGAACCCATGGCACGATTAGGAGGTGAGATGGCAGCCACCATTTTACATGGAATTCCAGCCCTCTGGTGAACACTTGGCACCACCCATCAGGTCTACTCCGGTGTCAGCTCGCCTTCCCATGGTGGCTGCTTAGCTGCAGCTTATGCTTCATTTGAGAAGTGGGAGCCCGGGGGAAAGACTCCTCTTTTGTACCTGCAGATGTGCTTACCTGTCTTGTCTTCCACCCCCCATTATAAGCCAGTGAAACTTCGTTGTGGCTTTGGGTATGGTTTCCTTTGGATGCTTGTTTTGAAGGGTGTTTTTGTTTGTTTCTTCACTATTGGAGATGTCAGCATCAAACCTTGCTGAAGAATCTTCCCTACTCTAGTAAGAAAAACCTGTACAGGTCCCCACATCCTCTCCAGCTCTAGCTTCATGTATCTGCTGCTTGGGCTCTTTATGTTTGCTTAGTGGGGCTTTCGGTGCACGTGTGTATGCAGAAAATAAAGCAGATGAGTTAAAGATACATTTCTGTGTGAGTCTTAACTCATCCGAAGTTTATCTTTTATGGGAGGTAGAAGGCATTTTTTTCTTAGAGCCACTTCTCTATACCTTTTATAGAATGGTTCATTTTTTCATTGAGAGTGCCTGTTTAAACTGGGCGTGGTGGTACATGCCTGTAATCCCAGCACTCAGGAGGCTGAGGCAGGAGGATTGCCGTGATTTCGAGACCAGCCTGGGCTACGTAGTGAGTTCAGGGCCAGTGTGAACTACAAAGGAAGATCCTGCCTTAAAAAACCAAAAAAAAAAAAAAAAAAAAAAAAAAAGGGG